TAACCATCTGGACCTCACACCAGGTTCAAGCCCTGATAAACTCTAGGGGACAGAATGACTGCCCCCTGGTTCAGGCCATGTTTCTAGACAACCCAGTGATCACCATAAAAACATGCTACACTTTATACTCAGCCACTCTATTCCCAATTGAGCTGGGAAACCTGGAACATCATTGCCTAGAAATAATAGATACAATATACTCCCACCAGCCAGACCTGGAAAGTGAGCCCCTCCCAAGGGTGGGGGAAGCATCGCTTACTGACAGAAGTAGCTTCATAAAGGAAGGTAAGAGGCGGGCAGGCTATACAACTGCCATCCTAAATAAAACTGTAGGTGCAGGGGTCCTACCTCCACTCAAAAGGCTGAGTTAATAGTTCTCACTATGGCCCTAGAATTGGGAAGAGGATGACCCTGAACATCTAAACGGACTTCCGGTATGCTTTCTCCATTCTACCTGGGCTAATCAATACCATGGAAACTCTGAGTGTGACAGTTCTAATTGACCAAGTAGTGAAAGCTTGCCCAACTGGCAATGCCAATAACCTGAATACTCAGCCTCCCTCAATCTCCAGGATGAGGCCAAATAATAAGGGGAACACACCTTGGGGAAGACTGGCATGGACTTCACTGGCATGCCTAAAGCACCAGGCAATTTCAGGTACCTCTTAGCACCTTCTCTACTGAAGGAAAAAATTCCTAATTGCAGGCTCCCCAATCTTTACAGAGTGGCAATGGGCCAGCATTTATCTCTGATTACAAAAGATGTTACCAAAGCCTTAAGAGTCAGGTGGGTATTTCATGCTGCTTCATGAGACCTCATTCATCAGGAAATTCTGGTGGCAAAGGCTAATCAGACCCTTAAGAGAACTTCATCCCAATTATGCCAGGAAACAAGAGAATTGGGTAAGGCCCCTTAAGGTAACCTTGCTGCATATATGGCCTAGTTAGTAAAACATGACTCAGGGACTATTGCAAAGTAAGCACTGGAATGAGTTGTGATGTTGAGACATTCTATGCTTGGGCATGGCTACCCATCATTGACCTTCCCAGTTAGGAACTTATGATCAGATCACCCTGTGAGGTTACTCACATCTTGTGTTATTCCTCCTAACAACCCTTCTTCTGTCATCTGTGGATAATGATAAAGAGAACTATTACCATTAAGAAAGATTCCCACATGAGGTAATACTTACATTCAAGATGTGAGTCAGATAACATCCCATAACTCAAGTTGGGGAAAACAGCACCATAGACACCGATTCCTCCAAAAAATGCCTACTGGCCTTGAGACGTAAATGACACTTCCGGAAATAATAGAGCAGGAGCACACACACAAAATATTTAGTGTCTTACCTTGGTTGTGAGCTAGAAGATCAGAGTTCAATGTCTGTCTCTCTCATGTATGGGATGTGTCACTGAACTCTGAAAAATTCCTTCAGACATCTCTGAACATTATTTTTTTTTCCATCCACAAACATACGATTTAGGCAAACCTATGTGGGACGTATGAGCACCCATTTTCTGGCTCTTTCCGATTGCTTGGAAAGGTGTCATTCATCTATAAACAGCATGCTTTTTCTCAGTTTCCCCTCTTAGTGTTGGTTGTTTGCAAAACTCAGATTTCTATTGCACCCATTCCTCAGTTCCCATCTTTTAAGAAAACTCCATGAAGGTGTCTTGGGTCTTGGGTCTTCCCATTCAAAATCACTTACTTCCTCTTCGGTTCTTCTACATCACTGTGACAACTGAGCTTCTATTACTTACCATTACAAGCTTCACGTTAGAATTACCAAGAGTGTTCTGTAGTCACAAGCTATGGGGCTTTAATATCAGGCCACTGTAAGTTTAAACCAAATTGGATAAGACCCTTAATGAAGAATGTTTTAATGATTTGTTTTAGATGAAATTTATTATCTCCATTTTATAAATAAAGGAAATAGGTTTGGAGATGCCATCCTACTGAATCTTTCTATATGACTCTATAGACGAATTCCTGAGCCGGTTAATGCTCAATATATGTAGGAGACACAATTGTTTCCTTTTAGATAGTCCATCAAGTCGGGAGGGGGCGTTAAATTGCATGAGCCCATAATACTAGGATTGGGTCAAAAATACTTGAACTAATGTATCTTTAATATCAAGAGTGTATTCATGTAAAAGCCAGTATACCATGTAATATATAAATGTGTGTTGACTAAGAAGAAAATAATAAAAATTAACGTCTGGTTATGATAGAATCTCTGTCTTCTTCCTTCATAAAGAACAATGATTGCACTGACAATATATGCAACACTGTCTGGCCAAATGAGTCACTTTGCTAAGAAACTTTGTACACAAATAGAACAGTACTGTAATTGAGGAAAATAAAAATATTATGAAAACTATTTCCTACAAAATACATTCTACAACTATTTTCTCCAGAAAAAAACAACAGAAGCACATACAAACATCTAAGTCCAGTTTCACAATGTGATACATTTAATTCTAATCCCGGGTATTATGAGCCACTATTTGTTCTCAAATAGAAACCTGCATTAAAAACCCTTCACCCTCAATCCAATGGCTTTCAAATTCAAGGTTACAGCCAGAAAAACAAAAAGCCACCATTCTGGGTTTGGGGTAGTGTGTGATATTGTGAGAAAAAAATTACAAATTAATCCCTGGTAACTTAATTGGGCATATGTGCATGTGTATGTATGTGTGTGTGTACACATACACACACATATATTCAATGTTGATATTTCCTGTTTAAATTGTGCATTTATATAGCTTTTATAGCGATGCCCACTGTTACCTTATCTTTTTGACTGACAATAATAGGATTTCAGTCATGCTCAGCCTTTCCTACAGTGCCAGTGATGGGAATTTTTGAAATCTTATTACTGCTTGCACTGCCCTGATCTCAGATGGAACTTTCAATCAAAAAGGCAATCAGAAGGTTATACATTCGTGAGATCCCCTGCAAAGCCCGTGATCGCATAATACAACTTGTTGGAAGGGCCCACTTGCCTCCAGTCCTTATGTGGCTATAAAGAGTAATTGGCTACTTAGCTCTCAGCACCCGCATTTCCTTCTCCAAAACGCAGCCCAGCCCGGAACTCCACTGAGACTCAGCGTGAAATCTGGCTGTTCCTAGGAGATTTCTAGGTCTCATGCAGAGACCTGTCTTATTTTAAGCATCTGATTAAACAAACTCTCCCAAAGACACATTTGGCTCTTTCTAAGCATTCTTGTTTCACCGGTGATGCCAGTGAATGTAAGTTTCCTTTTATTTTGTATACACACAAACACTTACCCACACATTTTTCCTCAGAACGTTTTCATTGTTCATAATCTAGAAATCACAATTCTGTGTGCCAACGTTAACACTTGAATTTAATTTCTAGCATCGTTTAACCATCCTATTGTAAGTTATTTTTAATCTTAAAATAACTATACTCATCAAAGATTACTGTAAAGAATGGGCCTTTAATTCTCTAGACTGTACATAGATGGATGTTTAAAAGACATTTTTATAATTTGATTTGATCAGTTAGTGGACAGGGTCAAGGCTGAATTGATCCATGTGATGACCAGTCCACTCAGGGATGCGTCATCTCCCCACATAGGAGCCTTGAATTGTGAGATAGGTAGAGGGAGATGATTTTGTCTCACTTTGCATCAACTCAATAGTTCTTCTCCATTTGGTAGAAGAATGGGAAAGGACTAATGGTTGGGATCTATAGACACATTGAAATGCCTATGCAACAGAAAACAGTGCACAGAGACAAAAACAGTCACTTTGATAAAGTTAAAAATATGTATTATTTAAAGAGTTGAACATGGGGTTCTCAAATTCTAAAAGTTTGGGAACGCTCATGCCTTCTCTTGGTTAAAGAAATCCTGGAAAGTCTATTGCTAAAGTAAAGAGTAGTTAAGTCTAGGTGTGTGTGTGTGAGAGAGAGAGAGAGAGAGAGAGAGAGAGAAGAGGAGAGGAGAGGAGAGGAGAGGGAGAATGCCTCTGTGTTCCTTGGGCCTTTATTTAAATTCAGGGTATGCTAAAAATATAGTTCAGTCCTAGTAATAAACATACATGATTCCATATTATAACAACTTAAATGGGTTTTTAAGCACCAAGTGCTAGCATGGTAATGGCAATAACAACAAAGTCAGCAAGAGACCCACACTTTCATGCTGTCTCTATAGGCAAAGTGAATTTTGAGGTGAGCTTTGGGCAACTGGTATACCAGACATTATCTCCTGCTCATGGAAACCATCATAGGTGATTATACTATTGATTTCCAAGATTGGAGGATATAGATTTTATATTCCAAAAATTAGCATGATTTTTGTTAACCATGTTTATAAATCTGTACTTTATGGCACTTCACTGAGAAATATACTAGAAATGAGTCTGGTATGCAAGAGATAAAGTAATCATCTTACCTTGGTTTAGAATGTGTAAGGTAGTCAGAATATTATTAGTGAATATTCTTACTAATACTACTGCTAATAATTTACACTCACCAAATATTTGTTTCAGACATTGTTCCAAATCCTAGTGTATTTTGAAATCATTTGGGGCAATCACTTTGACCTCCAAAAACACATTCAATAGCTATCATGATACACATAAAGGACAAACTATGGATGAATCTCAGGCAACAAAAACTCAGTACGGCCTCATTTAAGTCACTGGAGAGTTGTCAATTCTAAGTATCATATTTAAATATTTTGTTTCTATCATAGTAGAAGTAGCCTCCAAAAATTGGTACCTTCAGTTTTCTAGCCAAAGTCATGTTCTTTTCAGGCAGCCCAAGCCAGTGCCTGAGATGGTGTGATCAAGCCATTTCACATCCTTGGTTCTTTTTATATAAAAGCTCTTACAAATAAAGGTGATTCTTGCAATAATTTAGTTGAATGTTCTAGAATTCTAGTTAGACTCTCGTAGTAGGTCTTCATCTGATTGGGGAAAAGAAAAGTGAAGACAACAAAGGTATTTATAAAAATATATTTCACAAAGTAGGAAACAATACAGGAGTTTCTCTGAATACAATACATGGAGTAAATAAACAATATTGCATTAAAGCAAAGTAGAAAATTAAAATGATCTGCATGTCGTAGTAGTTCGGTTGTATCATACATTTCTCTACTCCTAAATGTCAGGTTGGTATTACAAATTGAATATGCTCACATCTGCTAGGGCTGTTCTCTTTTGGACTCTAAGTTGTTCTGTGTCTCACCATGAGGATAGGGGAGAGAAGTGCTGAAAACAGAAGCAGTAAAATTATGTACATATCGGCTCCTGCTCTAAAACATTGTGGGGTGACTTGAAGCAGGTCTGTTGGGCAGGGCGTTATGTAGGTATCTAAAAGTCTAGAGTTTAAATATTAACACGGATCAATATACTTTCAGATGTTTGTGCTTGTAGTAAAAACACCAAATACTAGGAGTATGAACAAAATAGAAAACAGTCCAAAAGTTTCTCTGGGAAAATGCTGTTCCTGCCATCACCAGTCACAATAACACTTTCTATACTAAAGAGATTATTCGCTCCCTGGTCAGAATATTGCCTGCCATACTCACCTCATCAAAATGTACATGTATTAAACATTCATTGTGTGTGTGTGTATATATATATATATATTTATATAAAACAATCTAAAGGATTATTAATGGATATAATTTATCTTTTTTTCTCCATATAGTCCCTTCATCTATAGGTTACCAACCTTAATAAATAAACGCATTCATGGACATCAATAAAATATTTATTTTGAGGATTAAACAAATAAAACCATCTGTCTCTGACGTTGTCCACTGCGTGACATAGGCTATCTTAGTGTCCTTGTGGAATAAGATGAAGTGGAGGGAAGGAGTAATCCTGCTTCTTAAAAACAAGCCTGTTCCGTGGGATTTCTCTCCTCCCACCACTGCGTTGGCAAACCCCACCTTGGAATGGATTAGGAACATGTGACTATTTTAAGGCTCGACACAATATTTAAAGATGCTATTCCATCTCTGATGAGTGGGGCCAACAATTATGTACAATGTGTGGTCACTGTACCGTGTAATCTTAGGAGGCCTTCCCAAACTCCCAAAAGTCAGAATGTACAGCCGACCGAGTATTGCTTTATCGTGTGTGGCGGGATCCTTATTGGTGAAGGGGAAAAAACCATTCGCATTTATAAAAATCCTTGCAGAAGACACATCTCAGCAGCAAATTCCTTGCAGGTCCATTTTGTCTAAGAAAGCACCTTTTAATTTTGATTTTTTTCCTCTTTTAAAACTATGTTTTTTCCCTAAGCATGAGCCAGGATCCCCATCTTTGTCTGTGTGGTCACGTACATAGCAACTATCCAATGACTTCTAGACACTCCACATAGTTTAATTCACACTCCACAAGATTGATCACCTCCTAACATAGACTTTTTATTATCCTTTTTTTTTTGGTTCAACATTAAAATGTAGTTGAGTTTATAGATGATTGGTGCTACACTTTCCTCTAAAACAAATAGCCACATTGGCTGTATCTAAAGGGAGTGGCCCTAGAATATTACAGAATGCTCAGTTCCACGGGTTGATTGATCATCCACTGTCAAGTTTCTTTGTCACTTTCACCAAGAGAGTAAAGTTCACCCAGTCTCTTAAAGCGGGGACCCCAGTCACTGAGGTAGTCAAAATTCTGGTCTGAGTCTGAGGTGGTGGACTCCAAGGAGCTGAGGGAGCCTGCCACTGACCCCCGGCCTTCATAGCCATAAATCTGAATGGAGTCATAGGGCGGGGCCGTGGGGTCGTTATCTGCCTCGTGGAGCCGCACATTTATAAATTCATCCACGTCAACACCATTGGGAACTGGAGCCAGCCCTTGCCTTGGCATAAACTGCAAATCTGGTTTAATATCCTTACGGGGTAAAAATCCATTAATTCCATCCGGGTTTTGTAAAGTGGCAATGTCAAAGGCCTCCGTGTCTTCCTCCCCGCCTCCTTCGTCGTCGTAGCGAATGATGTTTTCTCGTACATCTTCATCATCTTTGATAATTAATGGCTCATTTTTATGTCGCCGCAGAGTGACAAACAGCACCACGATGACTGTAGGAAAAACAAACATGAAAGAACAGTTAGCCAACTCGCATGTAGTCGTATGAGCAACGCACACACCTTGTAGGTTCAGAGGGAGGGTCATTATTCTAAAACTTATGAGTCTATTGCTTTGATATCATTGCCGTGAGAATTAAGCAAAATACCTTTATGAAGGATGAGCTCTCAATTTTGAGAGAATGCTATTTGATTTTAATATCAAGAAAAACATCTCAGAAAGACAATGTAATCTTGAAGAAAAAAATATATTTTTTGTTTGCTTATTTTTTTCTTTTTATCTCACCAAACTTTGTGATCAGATGGACTCAGTAACCCATCCATAAACTGTTTGAATAAAAGAGTGTTTTGGACACATATTTATTGCAGCCAGCGGGTGTGCATCAGATCTGGAGGTCTTCTTTATAATAGATGCTGTTGTAACCACATAAGGCCCATCCCCACTTCCCCCACCATTCACCTTAGTCTATATTTTCACTGGTGATGGCACTGAATAGTCATCTCCAATTGGACATTTACTATTTTTTCTTTTTACCATTGAGTTTTAGAGAGAGTGCAAGGGAGAGAGAGAGACAGAGAGAGAAACATTGATGTAAGAGAGACATATCAATTGGTTGCCTCCCACATGTCTGGACCAGGGCAAACTGGCTAGGGTCCGACATTTACCATCACAACCATTTTTCTCCTCACCTCCTCTTAGTGATCTCAGAGCTAGGAGAAGTCCAAAAGGGTTCCTCTTTCCAAAAGCATGCTGGATGTCTGGCTTGGTCAGGGTTTGCTGTCCTTATGTACAGTCATTGATGAACCAGAAAAATGGGAACCATGAGGCTATGAAGGAAATACATACCTAGCAGCAAAATGATGCACGCCAATATAGCAATTAGGGCGCCCATACTGAGTCCAATCGGAAGGACATAAGCTTCCACGTTACAGGACTGGACAACACCATCACTGCTGCAGCCACAGACCCGGATGGTCAGCGTGCTGGTGCTGCTCAGAGGAGGGTTCCCGCTGTCACTGATGACGATTGGCAAAAGGTAGACTTCCTGCTTCTGACGGTTGAATCCATTATGCTTGGCCAAAATGCTGAGGGAATTATCTGGAAAAGGTGACAATCACAGTTGTGTGCATCATTTCAAAAATGGCTGCCCAAGCAACACTTGTTTTTCTAGTTCCTAAATCCTCTGTGAGCCTCAAAGCCACCCGACTCCACTGGGCCACTCAGGCTCTTTGCCCTTCTCCTCTTCCAATTTTTTAAAATATGTTTTTTTTTTAATTGATTTTTAGATAGAGAGGAAAGGAGAGGGAGAGAGGGAGAGAGAAACATCGATGAGAGTGATACATCAATCAGTTGACTCCTGTATGCTCCCTTCTGGGGATCAAGCCCACAACCCGGGCATGTGCCCTGACCGGGAATCAAACCTGGGACCCCCTGGTCCATGGGAAGATGCTCAATCCACTGAGTCATACCAGCCGGGCCTCTTCCCATTTTCCCAACTGGTGTGGACCACACATCCATACCCAAACAAGTCCAAAGAATGGGGCTCCACGATAAATTAATGAAGTTTTATCATCATCTTGTAAATGCAAACTATGTCTTTTATTTAAGAAAAAGTGTCCTTGCCGAAACCGGTTTGGCTCAGTGGATAGAGTGACGGCCTGCGGACTGAAAGGTCCCAGGTTTGGTTCCGGTCAAGGGCATGTACCTGGGTTGGGGGCACATCCCCAGAAGGAGATGTGCAGGAGGCAGCTGATCGATCTTTCTCGCTCATCGATGTTTCTAACTCTCTCTCTCTCTCTCCCCCTTCCTCTCTGTAAAAATCAATAAAAATATATTTTAAAAAAGTGTCCTTGAAGAAGACCCAAGTTATCCCAAGTCCCACAATAAGCTTAATTTTCTCTCACTTATCCTTATCATGCAAAATTGGTGCGACAGAATCTCACCACAGTTGAAAGACATGTTTGAGAAGCTCTGGGTTAAAAGATAGACTACATGACACTATTACATACAAAACAATGCAATTTGTTGACTCTACAGGTAACTAAGAGGTTGTACACGCTCTAGAACAGTGGTTCTCAACCTTCCTAATGCCACAACCCTTTAATACAGTTCCTCATGTTGTGGTGACCCCCAACCATAAAATTATTTTTGTTGCTACTTCATAACTGTAATGTTGCTACTGTTATGAATCGTCATGTAAATATCTGATATGGGATGTGAGGGCGATCTGGCTGCGACATCTGTCACCCCATTGATCGCCAGGGTTGATTTGGCTGATCTGGCTGGCTAGGCGGGTGTCCCCCTCCTCCCTCACCGATCCATGTGCGTCCCTCCCGAAGCTGCGCGCTCGGTCGAAGAGGACGACCTTCCCCCCTGAGGAGAGGACCGGTCTTCGGTCAAGGGTATACGAGTAGCTGCGCTCCCCTGCTAGAACCTCCAAACAAGCTCTCAAGGTCCAAATATCTGATATGCAGGATGTATTTAGGCGGCCCCTGTGAAAGGGTCGTTCGACCCCCAAAGGTTGAGAACCGTTGCTCTAGAGCATTTATACTAAAGTGGTAAAGTCCTATGTACTGCCAATTAGAGAAGATAGGGCACATATATTAAAAACTTGTAGAGAAGACCTGCAGTGATTACACAGCTAAGAATAAAATGAAAAGTCATAGGAAAAAGTGTTCCATTTCACATGTATCAATTAAATATCTGGAGATTCATTTTGGTTATCTGAGTCAACACTTAAGGACATTTAGGCAACATTTAAAGATCAGTTCAAAGTAAAGCTGGTCAGTGAGTAGGAATTGGCCCTACAGTTCTCAAAATTTCACCCCCCAAGGGATACTTTTTCTTTCTTTTTTTTTTGGGGGGGGGATGCTTTTTCTTATCTTCATCCCTGTCTCATGAACTATAATTGTATTACATATATTAATTATTAATATATATTTTTCATTTTGATTAATGAAAGAACTATCTGTTCAAATTAGGAATATTAATTATCTCAGACTGGTTTTCCTGCCAGAAGCAAACGAACATAATTTTGGTAGATGTGAACAATGTTTTCTGGGCAAAATAATGATTTCAGTTGGAATTTCTTTATAAATTTTGGCAAGTTTGGAAACATTTGGCTACCTCATTGTTGCATATTAAGGCAGGGATTCCAAACCATTGCTGTCCAACTCCTGGTCATCAGTGTCATATTGTTTACAGAACAATCAAATACATGAAAAGATAGTCTATGCAAATGACTTCAAGTAATTGTATTAAATCTTTTGTACCATATAGTTTTATAACCAGATTCCCCCCCCAAAAAAATGATAGTCATTCCTTAAAACAGATGCATTAATTATATTTATTTTTTCTTTGTGTAGCAGGGGTGGAGAACTTTTTTACTGCCAAGGGCCATTTGGACATTTACAATATCATTTCCGGGCCATACAAAATCCAAATTTTCAACTTAAAAATTAGCCTGCTATATTTGGTCAAGCATTTAATTAACTCACCTCTAACGCCTTGGCAGGGCCAGACCAAATGATTTCATGGGCCTTATATGGCCTGCAGGCCAGATGTTCCCCATCTCTGGTTTAAGGTCTAAGGAGGCCTCTAATGCCTTATTATTAAGCAGTCAGACAGAAAAAGACATTCTTAGTTAACTTTTTTTCCCCCTAAATTTCTTCTGGTTGTGCTTCACTGTCTAGTACTTTTAAGAGCCCAAAACCCCTACAATGTCTCTAATGGAGTTAAACAGTGATATAGCAAACGACCCAGTGGTCTTCATTTCCATGGCCTACGAAGGAAGTACCATTAAACTAAAAGCAGGAGAGCATTATCTCACAACCCGATATAGAATATACAGCTGTGTGAAATTTTCAGAAAGTGTGTGACAAGTCTGAATATGGTTAATTAGTGAGAGGAACATTTGTAGATGGTTTCATACACCATAGTTCAAAACAGAATATGGGAATTGTTCTTCAAGATGCAATTAATAAAATTACAAGGAGGCCTTTCCCCTTTTGTGGTTGACATTATTTATGTAAGAAACCATCTTTATATATTCTCTCTCTAAAACAATCTA